GATTTGCCTTGTTTAAATAATTAAAATAAATTTACTAAATGAATTAAATAAATGAATAAAATGAAAAAAGATTTATCTTTAGTCAGGTTCATGTTTCAGAGAATTCAAGTTGTTACAAAAAAATGAATTTTCCTCTAACTGTGACTACAACAATTATGTTTCTTTTCTAATAGCTTCTTAATGTGAGAAGGTTGGAATTTTGAGAAATCAAAATGTTGTGACATCTCTTGGATTTAGCTTTTTATACAAATTTAACAATTGAAAGAACATTCTTTATGGTGATGATTAATTAGATTTCAGAGCCCCAGTCATATCTGGAGGCTGCTTACTGACCTCAAACCCATAGATGTCCACTACACCTACAGTGCTGTCCATTTCAGAGGGATTCAGCCAGTCATTGATCTGCTCCAACAGCCAGTCAAACAGTACTGAATACAAGGCCTTGGCAACGGCATCTCTGGAGACAAAGACATAAAGCTGGGAAGTAAAGTTGTAAAAAACTGAAAGCTTGATGTTGTCTGTGACTAAACGGTTTTAAATATTTTGATATACCTGTGTGTATATATTTGGTTGCAAAGATTAATTATTTACAGAACTACTACTATATAGGAAAGAGGAAAGACATCAAATGGACAGTTCAAGTCCTTTAAAGTGGGATTCTTTAAAAAAAAATATGAACCATTATTGTACCTGTTGTGGATAACACTTTAATTAATCTCAGTTTGAGAAACAAATTTTAATTCTGACAAGTCATGTTTGGTCTAACTCGGGTCAGATTTATAAAGCTTGCATACGCACAGAACGGGGCCAGAAACTTGCGTACGCCACTTTTCATGCAAAGGTTCTGATTTATAAAACCCAAACTTGGCGTGAAAATGTGTGTTCCCTCACACCAGCTCTGACCCATGCATATGTTCATTTTGGAGACGGGCAGCTGACGACACAGATGGTGAAGTGAGGAATTGTCGCTGCACTGCATCCTGTTCACACTGTTATTTAATTTTACTTCATAATCAAACTTAGATTTTAGATAAACTTTATCATAAATGTTAGAGTTTTAATATTTCCAGTTATGTTCCTTTCATTTATTTCCTTTTATGTACTCCTTTTATTCACTCTGCAAGTTTGAAGCATTGTGTCCTCACAGCCAAGTTTCTGCTTTTGTTTACTTCACTGCTGGCTGAGCTATTTTTGTCTGTAGGAGCAGAAGTACAACAAGTGTGTTAAGCACCAAAAATGGCATACATTTTTGTATCTTGCTGTTTTCCTCTCCCCTTTGCTTTAATAAAACAGACTCCCTGTGAGAGAAGGTCTGAGAATTTGGGGGAAACTTCTGAGTAAGAGGTTCCTTCAACTTCTCCCTCTTTTGCAAAGGAGTGTCTGAAAACTAGTACCTTTGTCTCTGGTTCTATTTATTTAAGGTACATCGTCTGATTAACCCTTTCAATAAGCTTTCTTAACAGTATTATTTATGCTTCTGCTGGTAAGCCATAAAGGTCTTTCAAATTAAAAAGACTTTCTAATCCAACTTAAATCTTAAATAAAAGTTCACGCATCTCCTTCCATCTCTGTCCTGGCTGCCCTCCTCCTCAGACGACCCCCACAGACCCCTCCCCAAACAAGAGACATTTCAACATGGAGCACGACAGCAATAAGATTCTATTTTACTTATTTGCCAAATTAGAAAAATTTGGCAAATGTAAGGGTTTTGGGTATATTCTAAAATGGATAATTTGTGAATATATTTAAATACACAAATCATATTACCTCGAGACACCACGCTCTTAATTTGGTCCAGGATTGACCCAGGAAAGAGACGAAAAACTATAACTTTATTGTAATCAGTCTCAGAATAAATGTACCCAAAATGATTTTATGAGTTCTTGTCTTATCAGAACCAATAAAACCTTCACCAAGACACAAAAATGAGATTAGCTTATGTTGGCACGTTCTCCACGAGCCATTTATTTACAGATTAGATGTATTTACAACTATTGTGAGTAAGAAGTGATGACATAATTGAACCAGGTAAAAACTGAGTTTGCAATCACAAGTGAATAAACAAACAAACAAATAAACATAAAAATAAACATTGAGATGTGAGTTTGAGGTTTGGAGTGAGGTGAGGTGAGTTTTGCTTTTAGCTGAGGATTTAACTAAGGGGGTCCTAGTTAAATTATGGAGAAAAATCGTTTAGTTTACCAAATCTCATACAAAGATAAAAATCAAATTAGTCTGAGCACCTGTGTGTCACCAGGACAAATGATCACTTTTACCCTTTTGTTCTGGCGTGTGGGTACCAGGAGGGGAAGTCAGCGGTGGAAGGTCATCTCTGGGGTTCGTTCTCCAGACAGGCTCTCCATACAAGCTGGATGTCAGGCGGTCTGCCTGATAAACTCGACTGGTCCCGTGGTCAGAGAAGGGGGTCACTCCCTGGTGACTCGTGGTCCGGTCCTCCTCAGGCTGCTGCAAGACTTCTTAATTTGATTTCAACTTTGTAGAGAAAATGAACTAAAACGACGCATGAATTACAATTAGCTTATTTAACTTCTATAAAATCAAACTCAGGTATTGAGTCGATATGAAATGGTAACTGTTCGGTCAATCAGCGGGAGATGCAGACTGACCTCATCAGCCCATGGGGAGGGGCTGGCAGGAAGGGCCTCTGCTGAGCTTCTGGAAAGCTGTTTCTGGCTTCTGATGTTGAAAAGATCTCTTTCTCTCATGTCGGTCTCGGGAGCTGAACTAACTTTTAAAACCTCTGTTATGGGTGGAGTCAAGGTTTTAAGTTGGCCAATAAAAATATTACACCTTATACAGGAAAAGTTTTTAACAAATCAAATCTGTTTTGGAGGGAAAACTTTACTTCAGGACAAAGAAAAAGGGAGTGTTTTAGTTTAAATATCTTGCATCTAATTAAAGGGAGAGACATCTGTTTACCTCAGTAAAATAAGAATGTCACATTTAATTAAAAATTCAAGGCTAAGGTTCCTAAGGGTTAAATCATGGAATAAAAACGCACACTGTTTAAAATCATGAAATAAAAGAAACATCTTCTTCTATAGGAAAACATTTAATCAAAAAAAACCCACACAGTTAGCTTCAATGGGTTTTGTTCTTTCTGTAAAAGAAACAGGTAAATCACATTTCTTTGATTAAGATATATGAAAACAGACAGTTGTATAAAAACATTCAAACTTGTTCCCTTTTTTTCCACATTTAATGAAGAATGTAGATCCTTTGTCTCAGTCACTGAAGAGTCTGGTTAAAGGCATTTATGACCCCCCTTTGAAGAGGAACAAACAGTCTTGTGCTTATGGGGTTGGYAGCACAGAACTTGTGGGGGTTTTAGGACTGTGGCAATTCTTATCTATTAACAATAAGGCATCAGGAAGTCTGGTGGGGGTTGGTGTAAGAGATGCTAATTAGGGCCACAAAGGAAGTTCCATGCAAAATCCTAAAAAATAGTCTGAAGTTAAAGTGGGATTTTGTTCCTTCCATTGAGCAATCATAGGAACAAGTGAAATCTAATCAGAAATGATCAATTCTATGCATAAAATGCTACACAAATGAGATCATTTTTAAAGTCCACATTCTTCACACACCCGGGTGGGGGTGGGGGTCAGCTGCAGATACAGTATAAGCACAGGCCGCAACGCAAAGTAGGAGGAAATGGGGGAGCGGTGGCGAACTTATTTCTAGCTGAAAAATGGGGCAATGGTTGGGTTATTAAATTTTATTTATTGTTTTTTTAGCATCCTAGGCTCTGAAAAAAATTAACTTGAAGCTGAGTTTTTGAAAAGATCGATGAGATTGCTCTAAACGTCTATATATCTGCAAAATAAGGGGAAAATCTGTGTAAATTATGGAACATCTGTTCATGTAAGCAGTCGTCAGCAGCCGCCTTTTGGCTATATGTTCACTTTCAGTATGAATGCTATGCAATCCTTTATAAACCTCCCCTGAAGAGGTAACAGCTAGTGCAAGCAGGGTCAAGTCCGAAGTGGATTAGCGGGTAAAGAATGGATGGACGGACGGATGGATGGATGAATGGGTGGATGGAAAAATGATCATAATCCTACTGGAAGTGTCCCAGGCTTTACTGGAAGTGTTATAGCTAGCTACTGTAGTCCAATCACAATTCAACTCTGTAGAAAGACCTATCAACAACAGGTCCTATTACTGACAACAGGAGCTCACTGGTGTTAAACAGGAACTAAAACTCAGATGAAGTTCTTCACAACCTTCATCTAGTCAAAGTAAAGAGCATGGGCCTCATGCACAAACAGCTCCTCGCTGTGTCGCTCTCCCAGAGCGCTTGCAGTGCCAAACTGCAAAAGGATTTTTGATAGAAGCTGAAAACAGCTGATGAGTCAGTCATCATCATAGATCATAAAATCCTCTCTGTGTCTAAATAAAAGCTCTGCGTGTTGTGCTGTTTATTATACTCCCCAGTAAGACTGAATTCGTTCCTGTTAAATGTATTTTTGGCACAGTTTTATGCATCCTTTATCTAACTTTGTACATGTGGATTCAATAATTGTTAATCATGTGTGTCTGGTGTGAACAATAATCATTTTCACATCATGAACAGTTTCTCAGAATCACCTCTAAGTGTCGCCAACAGAACCAGAACCACAGAAACGTGCGTACACCAGCCCTGGAGTTGGCATGGGGCTGCACACATTTCCACCTTCATAAAGGGCGTATGCAAGGTTTATGCAGGGGATTCTGATGTTATCAGTCCATGGAATGGATGTTATCAGGCATTATCAGTCCCATACAATGGCTTCAGAGGGTCCCTACTCTGCCTTCTAGGCTTCAGACTGTCCCAACAGTGCCCCCTAGTGGGTTAATATATCAATGTCAATGAATGAATATGTAAATAACCGAAAGATATTGTAATAAAGTTTTGTGTCCATGTCGGACTCAAACCCTGGTCTCCTGCTTTCTGGACCGACACTCTACCCACTGCCCTCTTGAGAGACCACAATATACAGTTTTTGGAGGTTAGTCCTAACCATGTCATCTGCTCTTAGGTTAACCTTGGTGGCTTTAAGCCTCATATTAACTAGATTTTTTTATGCCTCATGTTGACCAGATAGTCACTATCTAGTTAATATGAGGCATAAAGTCACTATGGTTTTATGCCTCATATTTATCAGATAGTGGTTTTATGCCTCATATTAAGCAGATAGTGGCTTTATGCCTCATATTAACCAGATAGTGGTTTTATGCCTCATATTAACCAGATAGTGGTTTTATGCCTCATATTAACCAGATAGTGGTTTTATGCC